GGCCCGTGCGGTCTCTTCCAACTCTATGATTCTATGATTCTATGAAGGGGAAGGGACAGCCGGACGCCGGGCGCCCCAACCCCTTCCTGAGGATGTTATCAGAGCGCCCACCATTGCACATGGCAAGCGCTCCGATGACGTCCTTCCATCACAGCGTCCGGACACCTGCAATGGAAGAGACGCATAAGATGCGCGCGCAGCCTCTTCTGGCGCCTTTTCTGTGCCTTGAGGAAGGAGTGCTATTTTAGCTCTCCTTCCAGGGCTGGCTGAACAGTGGATTGGGGCCGAGGAGTGGGGTAGCCTCGGCCCCGATCCTCGGTTTCTTGGGGCGGCCCATGGCCGCCCGTCTGTAGAGGCCCTAAGTCACTGAACTCCCTCTTTAGATTCCTGCGAGTAACAGAATTTTTGTTCTCAAGTTCTGCCAAATGTAGCTAGAAAAGCGTACTTCTGGGCCATGATAATTTGTCTGATTCTGTGCACAAAGAGCACAAATACTCCAACTCTTCCAATCTGGCAAGAGAGTCCTAAATAATCCTCTACCATCCCTTTTAAAGCTGCTTTTCCCAGCTGTTTTGAGAATCTCCCAGTCTCACCTGCTTTGAAAATGTCTGGGTTTCTCTCTCTGCTAGTGAGACAGAGTGGTGTAGTGGTCTGAGCATTAGACTATGACTCTGGAGACCAGGATTCAAATCACTGCTTAGCTATGGAAAACTACTGAATGACCTTGGGCAAGTCATATGCGTGCACACACATACACACACACTCTTTCAGAGGAAGGCAACGGCAAACCTCCTCTGAATAATCTGGCTAAGAAAATCCTGTGCTAGGTTCACCTTAGGGTTACCGTAAGTCAGAAACAATTTGGAGACACACAACAATGATAATTCTCTCTCCACCTCCCACTTTCCCCCTTGGCTTACTTCAATTGCTACAAACTGATTTCAGAATGCAAAAGTACAGTTGTCCCTCCCCATTTGCGGATTTGATGTCCACGGTCTCACTCTTTGTGGAGAGGGAGAACTGCCATACCTAAAATGGCCCCACGTGTTTGTGTGTGGCCCTGCGCATGCGCCATTAGTTTAAATGAGGCTAGAATATTAGCGAGCCGCCATTTTCGTGGGGTGTGTGTTTCCTGAAACAGTTCCCCCATGAATTGGGAGGGGCAACTGTAGTTTGCACTCAACTAAGCAGGAGAGAAGAGTACAGAATCTTGCCCTTCCCAGTAATCTCAGGGACTACTCAAGGACTACTACTGCAGCCTCTCTTTGCTTGTCTCTTATACCTTTTGTAATCTAGGCCATGCTTTGATGTTGTTTGGCCACATGTATCCCTGTTTTTATTATGTGAAATGTTGTAAAGTGTCTTATGTTCTTATGGCCTCATTCCTTCTCTGACTTTTCTTTATCTCTTTTCTTTCTCTCTCATCTATATGGGAAACCATAGCATATGAAATGATAGTCCAGTGATGGCAAATCTTTTAGGGGCCGAATTTCCAAACTAAAAGGCTTTCCGGCACCAGGTGTTACCCAGTGCTGGGGGTGGGACATCCTCCTTCTGGGGGTGGGACTTCTGGGGTGGGACTTCTTCTCCCACTCTCCTGGGCCTTCAGATCCCTCTCCAGAGACAGCTGAAGGCCCAGGGCAAGCAAGGGGGGAAGATGAGGAACAGGTGCATGCCTCTTCCGCTTCCTTCCCCCACGCCATTCTTGGCCTTCAGCTGCCTTCAAAGAGGCAGCTGAAAGCCAGGGTCTGGAAGGAGGAGGAACAGGTGTGCACCTCTTCCTCCTATTCCCCCATGCTGTCCCTGGCCTTCAGCTGCCTCTGGAGAGGCAGCTGAAGGCCTGGTACAGCCAGGAAGGAGGAAGAACAGGCGTGCACCTCTTCCTACTCCTCTCTGCCCTCCGCATGCCATCTCTAGGAAAATGGCTTTGCATGCCATATCTGGCATGTGTGCCCTAGGTTCACCATCACAGTGATAGGCTGTACACGACTGGACATAGTATTAATATATGTGTATTTAACATGAGCATACACTGCACTAAAACTGACTCTGGCATTAATTTCTAGAGAAATGCAGAAGGGAACAAAAACCTCAGGAACTCTGCTGCACAAAGTAAGCTGCTGTTTTTAAAATATGCCACATGGATATGAGAGCACATTTCTTTGATTATTATCATGATCTATATTTGTGGTGCATTCTAGTTTGCCTTTCTTGTTAACTTATAGCCTCTTCATGTGCAAAAATGCAATCTAGGTTGACAGATTTTATTGATGTCAGTTTCTGGACTTTCCCCAGCATGTGCCTCACAAAAAGATGTATATAATTCAATAAGCAGAGTCAATTAAGTTTTATCTAGTGTGACCCAGACAAAGAGCACAATAAGATTTTGGAATTAATCCATCATCCATTTTGCATACCTCCTGAATAAACTTGTTTTTCTTTAAAATGTACATTTACAAATTGATTTTGATCAAATTTGATATTTACATTTAGAATGATATCCCAAACGATTTCATGTACATTTTGTCATGGAGTGATGGGTGAATCATTTGTGTCCATCATGGATTGAATTTATGAAAAAAATTCTATGAACTGTAGGTGTTACCACTCAAAAAATTGTTTCATTCAAATCATAAGCAAAATTGTTAGTTCAATTTCTTGATATATGATAAGTGATATAAGAAAGATTCATGAATAATCATGGAAGGCAACAGTGTATCTTAATAAACAATTCAGAGCAATGAGCTGACATGAAGCAACTCTAAGCAGAATGCTGGCAAGCAAACCTTGCAATCTACAACAATATACTCTTGAGAATAAAACAAAAGGGCAATGTTAAACACTCAGAGCACGTTGAGCATTCATGCTTGCCAGTTTTCCCAAAAATCTCATTCAAACGTTAACCTTTTTGTATATCCTTTTAAACCACTAGCAGTTGCTGGTGGCCTGAACTGCATTTTAATAGCAGGAAATGAAGGGTTCCTTTTAAGTTTTCACCAAATATTTAAGAGGCAACCTACTTTCGTTTGCTTTTTATAAAGCACCTCACCTCTTCGACAACACAAATATACACAGTAGGGACATCAAAGCAAATCTTATCTGTTTGTTCATGAACAAATACCTCCCCAAGGAAACGGATAGCCAAAGAGACCACATGCAACAGTTAACTTTTAATTTGGAAGAATTTCAAGTACCATCTAATATGGTAGCTTTAACCTGGGGGGGAAAATATGGTGCTCTTTATTTTCCATTTCCTCCTATTTTTTTCCTCATCCTCTTTTAAAAATCAGGTAACCTGAAGGCCTGGAAATGATATGGGTAATGGCCTTGTGCAAGTTCTAGATGCCCTCAACCTTCAATATTTCCATATATATATATATATATATATATATATATATATATATACACATATACATATACACATATACATATACACACACACAGACATGTGTGTGTGTATATATATATATATAAATTGAAGCAAAGAATCAGCATCAAAGAGCTGCATCAAAGTGAAAGGGAGAAAGACGGGTTTCTTTCTTTCTCTCTTTGAAACCATGTTCAGTTTGATGCAGTTCTTTGGTGCTAATAATTTGCTTCAATAATCGAGATGCTAGTCAGTAACCACAGGCTTCTCACTTCTCCTTGTTTTAAGGAATGAATAACAAACAAAATTGACTAGCATCATGATGTGTTAATGGGAAAAGTTGGCCCTTTCCAAGGGCATAAGAAACTAAGAAAAGCTGACAGATTTCAGGTAGCAGGAAACATTTTAGAAATGGCGGTTTTGGGAGCAAGAGCACAGCAAAGTTTGACTGCATAGCTTCTTGTGTTTGGAGCAGGATCAACTAGCATAAAAGATAAGCAGAAAGAGGTTGGCAGAATAAATAAAGCAAGAACTGTTCGAGGCCCTGCCAAGGTTGCCTGATAACAGATGGGGTCAGGATGTCAATGATCACCTAGAGCTAAAAGGAGGAGGAATTTGGACTGATGGGGGATATGGAAACTTCAGAATTTGTCTCACTCCACTCTTTTATTTTGTCCACTACACACACACATACACACACTCACTTGAGAAGCCCATTAAAGTAAGAGGGACACATGCCAAAGTGCAACTGACCTCCAAGGACTGTGCCCTCAGTTATCATCATCCACTAAGCCTTAATTTTTCCCCAGATCTGTGTCAGAGGCCTTTACTTGTCAACATATTTGTTTAACTTGCACATCAGCACTCAGACTGGATAGCTTGTTAAACTCTGCAAATAAATGTAGGTCTTTTATTACCTTCCTCAGAAAACTCTCACAGTGTTTTCAGCACTCTGCTCTAGTTAAAAGAGGAGGGATTCTCTTTGGAGTTTATCACATGGGAGGGAATTGGCTAAATCCCATGCAGAAATGGGATTTAAGGATTTAAGTCCACAAAATGGCATCATTTTCAGACGCACTGAGCTTTAATCCAACATTAACCTGCACAGAAAGTGGACAAAATCAGATTTCCCCAAAAAGTAAAAAGCAGCCGATTTTGTCCACTTTCTATGCATGTTAATGTCAGAGTAATGCTCAATGCCCCTAATGTGTCTGAAAATGATCCCACTTTTGTGGGATATTCCTGGAATTTAAATCCAGTTTCTTCATAGGATTTGGACATTTAGCCTCCCGTATGATAAACTCCTTTGAGTGTTGGTTTAAAGTCTGTTGCTTGAGAGGGAAAGAGTATGCTCTATAGCAGAGGTAGGCAACCTTTCCCCTTTAAGGGCCGAGGGACTTCAGCTCCCAGAATCCCAGGAGCTATTGGTCAACATGGGACTGTTGGCCAACATGGCTGAGGCTTCTGGGAGCTGAAGTCCCTCGTCCCTTAAAGGGGAAAGGTTGCCTACCCCTGCTCTATAGCAAGGGTCGCCAAACTTTTTTGCGGTAGGGCCAGTTCCGATGTCCCCTGATCTTTGGCGGGCTGAAGGGGGGGGGAAATGGCGGCGGAGGCACGTGCGCGCATGTGCACTGCCCACCGCTGTGGTGCACATGCGTATGCGAGCGCAGGGTGCCATTTTGCTTTCCAAAATGACGCCTGCAATCGCGCACGCATGCGCACTACCCCTGCCGTGGTGCACATGCATACGCGAGCGCAGGGCACCATTTTGCTTTCCAAAATGGCACCCGCAATCATGCACGCATGCGCACGACGGTGGCTGCCATTTTTGAAGGCAAAACGTTTTGTCTTCCAAAATGGTGCCCACCATGGTGCACATGCATGCGCGAATGCGGGGCGCCATTTTGGATGGTGGCCCACGCTCGCACACGTATGCACATTCCAAAACGGTGCCCGTGCCCGTGCCCATGTGGCAGCAGCAGCGGGGGAGGCGGTGCGCGGCAGCGGTGGTGGCGGTGCACACAGGGCGGCGCCATCAGCGGCGGTGGTGGCAGCTGCAAGACCAGCCACGGGCCAGTTTGAAGGCCTCAGCAGGCCGGGTTCAGCCCACGGGCCATAGTTTGTCGATCCCTGCTCTATAGTATACTTGCTACAGTGTAAAATGAGTCACAAACCTTTACTGACAAAGGTCTGTTTAGTGTTCATCTTATATGAATAAGATGTAATCTTACTCATTTCAGTATAATCCCAGGCATGTTTACTTGGAAGTAAATCCTACTATTTTCACTATTTTACTGCCAGAAAATGTCTGTCAAGCCCACTTAAAACTTTGTTTGC